TTAGCATAATTAAATATGCACTAAATATAATGTGATTAAACTTCAGTAGCAGTAAAAAATAATGTAATAAGCTTTACAGAAACTGAGCCCAGGCAGTCAACATATATTTCTGTTATAGCTAATGCTACACTGCCTCAGTTCTGTTTTGTGCCCCTAGCTTCTTTTCTTTTCCCACATTTTAATGTTTTTATAGGAAAATAATTTTATGTGCTTATTTTGTATAAAGACTGAAAGCTGAGCAAGATGAATTAATGTATCAAAAGGTTTACCTGCATTTCATATGTAAAACTTAGTTGTGCTTAGAAACTAGTACTTGAGCACTCACATTCACCTTTTACATACAAAATCACTACATTTCCAAAAACTGCTGTAGAGTTCTTCATTTGCAGCTAAAATCTGCAGCTGATGTAAAACTAAAATCTAGAGCTAAGGAAACCCACATCAAACTTCTGATTTCAGTGGAACTGAGGTCTGAAGTCCATCACTGAAAGCAGAATTTAGGCTGAGGTTTCTAAAGGTCTGTAGATACCTCTATGATGGGACATTCAGTGTCCTAGAAGTTAATTAGGTGCATGAATAGACCAACACCAGAAGAAAATCAACAGACTTCTTTAAGATGTGGGATACTCAAAGTCATGCTGGCTAATTCAGAGCCCTCAACAACAGCAGAAATTAAATCCTGGTATTGCAGGCCATGGGTTGACAGACTCATTTGCCTGTGGTCATTTCTCTTGATCTCCATTGGAAATTGTCTTCCCCAACATATCACATTTTCCAAAAACAAGACAGATTACATTTCACTCCTTGCGAACCCTCTGTGCCAGCCAGGCAGGGAGAAAAGGGAGACTCTTCTCACTCTGTGTTAACTGTGCTGCAAACAGCAGTATGCTAATTAAATGATAGCAGCCTGGCAGAAACGATTATATGTGATCCCACCATTAATTAGTAGTTATTCCTTCCTGCATTGGAAGAGTTCGGTGTAATCACATCAGTGATCTCACGGCCGCACAACCCAGTGCGATGGGCATACCCTTTGCATTGAGAAGCTGTGCGCCATGAGTGGCAACCTCCCAAGCCAGGTTAAAACAGAGGGTCTTGGAGTTTTAACCCTGGGAACCTGAGGTTGAAGCTGAACAGCTCAGAGAACTAAGGTCAAATGTGCCTTTTCATTTTTTTCCTGGCTCCTTGTGAGCATAGGTTGTCCTTATCCCCTTTTATTTGTTTCTTTGCAGGTAAAAAACTGCCACAGTAATACAAGGCCGTGCCTGCATACGGTGCTGATAGACATTATGTGCATTCATAGAGGGCCTATCACAGTGGCATCTGCAGGGAGCAGGACGTAGGCAACCAGATAGCATCAGTTCCATGGAAACAGATGTTTACCATCCTCTGCCTTTCTCAGCTGAACAAAGACAATGTTGCTGATAGGGATACAGCAGGTTGTTCCCGGAACGTTGTTTGGTGGAATGGCTGCCCCACTGCACATCTGGATCAGTCCCACACACTATGATCCTGTTATGACTCCCAAGACCTTTGGGGAAATGAACGGGTTGGTGTCATTTGGTCTACTTTTGCAAAGGACTAGCCAGTACAGGAAGGTGAAAGGGAAGCACAGGGAACCTGGCTTTCATCCCTCCTCCATGAGGAGGTCTCCTGCGGAGCCCTGGGCCCCATGTCTGCCGCAACTGGGTTGTGGAAAGCCTCTGCTGCTCAGTTCTATGAGTTTAGAGACTCATTGTAATGGGAATCATAGGAGAAGGTAAGAAACCTGTGAAGTTCCTATGATGGTAAGACATGGGAGAGAGATCACCAGCCCACAGCAGCTGAGCTCTCATCCTGACAGGTATTCCAGTTTTCAACATCTCACACTTCCCTTCACAGATACCAGGTCAAGTGGATCCTTGCTGGGTGAGGCAGTCCTTGGGGAAGCTGTAGGGAGCTCCTCCGGGCACGGGAGGGATTTTCTGGCTGTTCAGGCTGAAGTGTTGTTTGTTTGGTGGCATGTCACCTACAACCACTGCCCTGCTTACTCTACGCTGGTAGCCTGAGAACCTTTCTCTGCTTGTTTTATTTCAGTTAAGAGTGAACTGAACTTGGGCCATGTGCAACAAAGGGCTTGTCTTGAGGTTTACACTGGATTCTTTCCCTTCTGCTCCTTTCAGTTCGTGTCACTGCATGGGGGGTGCTAGACACAGGCTAAGGGACAGAGCTCATGAACATGGTGCTCAGAAAGACGGGTCATGTCCACCTACAAAATTGCATAATCACACAGAAAATGTACACCATGTCCTACCCAGGAAGGGAATTAAATTAAAACTGTGGCGTTGCTGAACTATGTCAGAATTTCAGCAGTAATTATGAATACTGCAAGCTCTTTTGGTGCCTTATTTGAAAGGTCCAAATATCTTTTTAGACTCACCAAGCAATGGCTCACCAGCAACAGCACACAGGAATATCATGAACAAAAGTGTCCATGACCATATGGGTAACTTAGGAATAAAATATAACTCTGAATCATACAGTTATTTATAGTCAGATCATTCAAGTCACTTTGTACAACCAAACTATTAAGATACAGTAAACGCAAGAAATGAGTGGAGGAAAAACATGAAAGTTTCTAATCCAAGGTCATGAGTCTATCTGCTTTGATTTTTGTCTCTCAAGTACATAAAAAAGAAAAGCATCTGTCAGGGCCAGAGAGAAGTTTAACTGTTTTAGCACGTTGTTACCTTGAGCTATTGAATGCAATAGGGACCTGATGGTGGAGCGACATGAAAACTTTTGGGCAGAGACACAGGTAAATGGGACTCATCTGGCTCTGCTGGGGCAGATCTCAGAACCCAGAATGTGCTAGATTTGAAGGACAAGTAGTAAGACCTGAGAAAAGACAATAGAATTTCATCTCTATTACTCCATCTTTTTCTTCTTTTCTTTTTCTCAGGAAAGTAAAAAAGTAAACAAAATAAGTAGCCTGAAGAGCATTTGAGATTGTCAATTCAGGTTCAATAAATATTCCTGTGTTACTGCCAGGTTTAAAGCTGACATTGTTTCTCCTGTGTTTTTTGGGAGACGGAATAAAACCCCCTAATAATGTAGTCTTACAACTGAAAGTAACTTACAGGCTGAGGAGCTGCCTCTAGGAAGGAGAAACACCAAAGGTTTTAGGTGACCTTTTCAAGGGCAATTGTTCTCCCACATTTTTTTGTGGCAAAGAAGCATGGAAATTTCTATACAAGAACACACAACTCACAATAAATCAATTCCAGAATAGTTATCAAGATGAAGCTTCAGAATTAAAAACAAATGCCAGAACAATAAGAGTAACAAAAAGAGAGATTCAGAGCTGCAAGAAGTGTATATTAAGATGAGATTTACCCATCACTTACTGGTTCCTCAGCAGAAGGAAGGTTCCAGTTGCAAATGCTGGAGGAATATATCACATTCAAAGGGTAAAGGGTGCAGGGAAGAATAAAGACAAGACCAAGACAAGGTAGCAGCAGAAGAGGGAAGAAAGCAGAGAAGACCTGGGGGGTTCATTCAGAGGTTGGACTGATTGCACAGAGACAGGGGGAACCACCGATTTGGGTGGCAGTGGCTGGTGTGAATTTGGATGGAGCCAGGAAGCTGCAGGTGATTTGACTGTGTGGTCTGTGATTGCTACGATGCAGGGAGGGACATGCTGCCCACACTCAGCTGCTAATCTGGGGCCAAGGAAGTCAAAAGGAGGAGGCAGCTAGGGCAGGGGAGGCAGAAGGGCTGAAGGGACAGCGCTAAGCAGAGAGGGGAGGGTTTCTGCCCATGGAGGAAGTGAAGAAACATCTCTAGGCTGGGATGAGATGGTGGAAACAAAGGGGAAAACAAACCTTTGAGTAGCGTCTGAACTCTTGAAGCTGGCTAAAGGGTGACATGGGGCATCCCCAAGTTTATTAGGTCAAGAGGGCTGGATAGAGAGGTGCCAATAAATGTGCTGAACCATGTGCAGAGGTAAGACAAATGAACATCGTGTTTTTTCAGAGCTCAGCAAGAGCACTGTCAGAAGGGGTATTAACACATATGAAGCTGTTTGGGTACAAAGACCAAACCCAGGGAAGCTTTGGAGGAATTCTGGAAGGGCTGCTCTCACCCTTTAGAGGGATGACCAGACAGGTTATATAGTGGTGATAGGCTGCCCCAGATATCTCCTGAGGTGTTATTTCTGAGGTTATGGGGATAGGTCAGTGCTGGTTCATACCGTGGTGGGAGTAGGGACATGAAAGGCGCTCTGGGTTTCATAAGTTCCTAGGGTCAGAGAAATGTCATGTTTCCACAATAAAATAAAGGGGATTTGGAAGGGTGTGAAAGCAACTACTGGAACCCATTTAGAAAGAGGCAATACTGTTTATGAAAGTGGGCAGGGGGAGTCCTGAATCTCTTAATGGTCTTTACCTATCCTGCATACTAGAAACTAGAGAGACATTGTGCAGTGAATCAGGGGCTTCAGTAGGTTATCCCAACCAGAGCCATGCAAGTATGGGATGGACAACTTGGATTTAGCTGTGAACCTAAACTCTGGCCACATATTGTTATGCCAAAATCATGTCAGCTTAGGAGCCCTTGTCCCATGTTCACTGTCCTTCTAACGTATCTTAGAAATACGCACAAGCAGCACTATAAGTTGAGTGGCTTGGCTGACAAGATGGACTTTTCTTTGGTTATCATTTTTACTGTTTTGGGTGGTAAAATCCGACAGCACCTTGCTGATGTGGAAGGGAGAAAGGAGCAATCAGACATGGGGAAACACAAAGTTGACAGGTAAACTTATAAAAGACTGGGCCATATTTCATTGTGCACACTTTTTAAAAATATGGTCCTATGTTTAATGTTAATGGAAACCATCATTCATGCATCATTGCCATAGGAACATTTCTATTAACATTAAACATACTTTGATACCAGTAAGTGTTACTGGCTGGCAGAGGAAAGTTACAACGTGTGTAATTTTGCTCTTTGTTTTCTCTTACCATGTGTAGGTGTCTGGGTGGCACTGTTTAGTATCAGGTGATTATAATTTTGTTCTTGGTCATCTGAAATTCACAGAAAAAAAAAATCCCTTTAAGAAATGGCTTAGCATACCCACTGATCTGCAGATGATAATTACAGCTCACAGTATTCACAGGAAATCTCAGCATGATTAAAGAAAGGAGAAGAAAATGCTTAAGAAAGCAGAAGATTCTGTTATGTAGTTCACTTAAAATTCCAGATGCAAGAAGAACACGATAATGGGAAACTGCTCCCGCTCTGCTGAGCCTGCAAATTAGAGTTATCTGCAAAGGTAAGAAACATGTCCAGACAGGAACAAACCGCAACTGGTGTACCAACACCAGTAGTGTGTTCCTGGGAAGTGCTGGAACCTCACAGCCCCTACTCCACTGCTCCATCTCCATCCAGCAGGGAGATTTTCAGGAAGTTAGCCTACACGAGAAAGAGACTCTCCCGCTGTGACTGCAACCACAACAACAATGTCCTGTGTGAGTACAGGGAAGGATCAAGTAAGTGGCCTCATAAATGCAGGCGGTAAACAGCTGCACATGGGCTGTAGATCTCCCTCCCCTGAGAAGTGAGAATCCTGTAAGACCTGATGCATTCAGTATTCAATGCACCGTGCTGCGAAGTAGGAGGAATGATCAATGGCAGAACAACTGCTACCATTGTGGTTAGTAACTACCCTTTGGGTTGGAAAACAACTTACTTTCTTTCTCACTGTAATAAAACCATTAGATAAGTGACTGCTGATAAACTTCTATTATCTTTAGTTTCCAGACAAGCCTTCAATAAGGAATGAACTCTTTGTCCAGATCTTTACAACCTGTTATGGAACTGTAGTAATGTAGGGGGAGAAGAGATTTCAAGAAATCTTCTTGCATCTCATGCTCTCCCAGTGCAGGATGGGCTAGTCTGATGTCTAGTCTGCTATTCTTAAAAACCTATCATGGATATTTCACTTTTTCCCCAGATCTGTTTCATTAGGTCTTTCTTACTGCTTTTTAGGCCAATTGCTTCATTCCTGTCTACCAGGGACATGGAGAAAATCCCCCTTATTTCTGCAATAGCTCTTTATGACAAAGCTGTTACTATGTGTTCCCTTAACTTTATTCTTCAAGCTAAACAATGCCATTTCCTTTATGTTTCCCTATAAAACTTGCTTTGCCTTTGGTTATTGTCGTTCTGGCATCCTGTGCTCTCTCCGATTGACCTAGAACCTTCTCAAGTTTGGAATACAGTCTGGGACATGTTTCTGAGAAGAGACCTTACCAGTACAGAGTGGAGTGGCTGGATTTTTCCCAGTCTCTTGTTCACACAAAACTTGTATGATATTTTTCTTTTCCTGGTTCATTTAAAGTTTGTGATCCTTTATGATTCCTTATCGCTGTTCCAAAGAACTGCTACCTGTCCAAATATTCTTCAACATATACAAGGTTTTTTAGTATTCCTGTTTCAGTCCAATGCATAACATTTTTCTCCATTTAATCAATTTATTTTCAGTCTATTTCTCCAATTTGTCAAGAACAATTTAAATTCTAATCCCATCCTCTAATAGACTTATGGTCATCCGAGCTTCATCTGCAAATTTAATAAGCAAATTCCTTTTCCACCTGTAACAAAAAGACTAAATTCAGAACCACATCAGTTCATCCTTCTACTGATATTTAGTTACCTTTTATGGTTAGTCAGCCATTATGGCATCTACCCTGTAGAAGTTCATTAATAACATGCTTCTCAAATTAGTCTCACATTATTTTCCCAGAAACTGCTGAAAATCTTGTTAAGGTCATGATCCTTAATATAAGCTATTTCTCCCTGGCCACAAAACACAGTAAAAAATAAAAATAAGATTAGCTTGACATGATTTGTTTCTGAGAAGTCCCTGATGGCCGCTACTTTATCTCACTGGAAACTCATCTCCCTGCACAGCATGCTGAATATCTGTGTACAGCCAGGATTAAAATCCGAGGTTATTTATTCGGATGACAGCAGACTGGGCACCTTAGCTGGCTTACTTCTCCATCTAGAAAACAGGAACTCATTATATACACAGACAGCTGAAAATACAGAAAGGATATTAGCTTAGCTACCAGTATGTGATGAGCAAACCTTGAAAGGAGACCAAGTTCACATAGACACCTAAAGTGCCCTTGAATAAATGGCCTTCAGGTCGCCTAAGTTAGAATTTTCCTTTGGATCCCCCATTGCTGGTTACTTTTAGCAAGAAAATGTCCTGCAGTAGCTACTTTTGTGACTTTACTTCAGTTTCTGTTCCTCCATATAGTCTAATTTCACTTTAATGTGAAAACTGGACTGGAGGACGGGTGGGACAAGTAAAAAAAATGCATATTTTTGGAATCCCTGTAACTGTCTGGAGGCATTTCCAGAGATATGGGATCTGATGGGACACTTTCCATCTAGTTTCCAGCAAGCATGATACAGAATCCTGCTCACTAATTTCTGCATTAAGTTTTAACTGTTTCTGGAGTTCAAACAGACCTTTTCAGTAATATGATTTTAAAAGATTGTATGTGATGGTGAGTCTGATACATGCCTAAAAGAAATGGCTGCAGTATTTTTAGTCTTCATTACCAAAACCCACAATATACTTTAGGTCTTAACTGAATCATCTGACTTCAACTCCTATTAGATCTTTCATATTTTTCGGTGGGACTAAGGAAACAATTTCTTACTAGAAAACTCTTCCACATGTAGGTATTTCTAGATCATGAGGCTTGTCAATCATCAACTTGATTATTCTCTTAGATAATCTAAATATTCTGTGCTTCTGAAAAGCTGTGGGGCTAAGGTCTGGGCCGGTATCTATAGACTTAATCAGATTCGGTTCATGACATTGTTAAGCAGAAATGTGTTTTGAATGTTACTGTTAGACTGGTGTTTAGTCATTACAGCCAGCAATGGGGGTGCTGGGACTGCCAGACACACAGCTTTGGAGCAGTCTCCTCTATGCAGAATTTTTAGGGTTTTTGGTTGCAAAGGCAGCTGTTTTGTACAGTGTACATTAGGGATGTCTGTGTCCTGAGAACAACTGTGTCTCTCTTATGGCAGGTTTTCTGTTACCAAGTTCATAAAATCACAGAATCACTGAGGCTGGAGGCACCTCTGGAGATCGTCTCGTCCAACCCCCTGCTCAAAACAGTGTCAGCTAGAGCCCAGGACCTTGTTCATTAGGGTTTTGAATACCTCCAAGGATGGAGACTCCTTGTAAATCCTCTCTGTAAATCCTCTTCCAGTGTTCAGCCACCCTCACAGTAAGAAAGTTTTTTCTTATGTTTAAGTGGAATTTTCTGTAGTACAATTTGTGCTCATTGCCTCTTGCCCTGTCACTGGGCACCACTGAGAAGAGCCTGGCTCTATCTTCTTTACTTACCCATCAGTTATTTACATACATCGATGAGATCCCCCTAAGTCTTCTCTTCTCCAGGCTGAAAAGATCCAGCTCTCAGCCTCTCCCATAACAACAGATGCTCCAGTCCCTTAAACATCTTCCTGGCCCTTTGCTGGACCCACTCTAGTTCGCCCGTGTCTCTCCTGTACTGATGAGCCCATCACTGGTCCCAGCACTACAGATGTTTCTCACCAGTACTGAGCAGAGGGGAAGGATCACCTCCCTTGACCTACTGGCAACACTCCTCCAAATGCAGTCCAGGATGCTGGTGACCTTCTTTGCCACAAGGGCACATTGCTAGCTCATGTTCAGCTTGGTGTCCATCATGTATTTTATTGGTTATTTTACCCACAATTTATTACCTTATTTATAAGTTATTAAATCTATTTTTGAAAGTTGCAAACTAGGTAGTGAGTAATGAGCCTGTTGTATTTTTTTGGTGACCTCTCCTTGACATTTGCAGCTGATGTGTTCATTGAGCGTGACTGAATTGCTATACAGCCACTTCTCTCCTGAAAGCCTTAGAAAGTGAGATACTTCCCCAGGAGGTCTCCATCCTTCCACATGCTTTGTGTAGTAGCCTGTGGTTCCTATGCTAGTCCTTCTGGTCCTTTCAGCCAGGTGTAGGGCTGCAGTCATGCAGTGTAGCTAGGGAAAGCAAGGACTTCCAGCCTGGCTACAGCAAAGCTAATCTACAAATGAAATCGCAGAAAACATCCAAACATCCAAACTGTTTGTCCCCTTCTTAACTAATGTTGCTTACACACTACAGGAGCTGACAGATAAAAGGTTACACAGAGATGGAGACACTTGTGTGTGTGAAATGCAAGCATTTAAAACAGTAGCAGACATAACTTGAACACATTAATTGTTGCAGAAGGGAAACAACAGAGGCTTCTCTCTCCTGAAAGCAGAGTACTCCAATGCAGTCACTTACTCTCACAGCCTCGCTCCTTGGTGAAATTGTGTCTTCACTGAGGACAATTACACCTGCATCTACATGAATAGGAACTATTGTCTTCTGATTCTGATCAGCTTTCCATTTCACCCCAAATACTTTTTCTTTCTCTTTCTCTCTTTCTCTTTCTCTTTCTCTTTCTCTTTCTCTTTCTCTTTCTCTTTCTCTTTCTCTTTCTCTTTCTCTTTCTCTTTCTCTTTCTCTTTCTCTTTCTCTTTCTCTTTCTCTTTCTCTTTCTCTTTCTCTTTCTCTTTCTCTTTCTCTTTCTCTTTCTTCCCTTCCCTTACCTTCCCTTCCCTTTTTTTCCCTCTAAAAAATGCAGGTGCTTTGAGGCTACTGCTTAAGAAATATCATCCAAAATAGTCAGACCCTGAATTATTGGCATTTTCATGTGGCTGAGCTAATCAGGCATCTGAATGCAGCACTGGGCTTCATTTACCACTTCTGTAGCCTATTGTAAACACTTTCTAAGCAATAAAATGCTTTAAAATGATGGCTGAGCCTTCCTGTACCTCTTCAGGTTTAACAAGATAATGCTGTTAATTGTGAAGTGCCAGTTAGGCAGAAGCATATCTATTGTAGAGACAAGTATCTGAGTTCAAAGCTATTTACTAGGAAACTCCATTAGGGAAATAAAGGATTCACAGTGCTCTGAATTGCCAGACCACAATATG